TATTTTTGGTTCTACTAATGCCACTCTTTGCAAGGAATTTTCTAAGTTTGTACAGGTAGAGATTAAGATGAATATGATGGGAGAATTAAAGTTCTTTATGGGGATTCAAATCAATCAAAGTTCATAAGGAACAAACATTTATCAAAGCAAGTACGCAAGAGAACTTTTGAATAAATTTGACTTATCCGAGTGCAAGACAACTAAGACTCCAATGCATCCAACGTGTATTCTTGAGAAGGATGAAGCAGGTAAAAAGTAAAGCAAAAATTATACAGAGGTGTGATTTATTATCTTTTATATTTGATTCCTTTTAGGACTAACATTCTATTCAATGTTTGCTTATGTGCTATATTCCAATAAGATCCTAGATAATATCACTTAACGGTTGTTAAGTGAATCTTTAGATATTTGAAAGTTACTACTAACTTTGGTTTGATGTATAGAAAATCAAAAGAATACATGTTAGTTAGATATTATGATGTTGAATATACTGAAGATAGACTTGAAAGAAAAAGCACCAATGGAAGTTGCCAGTTTCTTGGTGAAAATCTGATTTCATGGTCCAGCAAGTGGCAATATACAATAGCACTATCAACAGCAGAAGCTGAATATATTGAAGCCTATGCATGTAGCACGCAAATACTCTAGAGGAAAAGTCAACTAGAAGACTATTAAATTAAGGAAGGTAACACTCTTATCTTGTGTGATAACACCTCTGATATTTGTTTATCCAAGAATCCTATTTTACACTCAAGGGAAAATCATATTAAAATCAAACATCATTTTATAAGAGATTATGTTTAGAGGGGTATTTTAAATTTAAAATTCATTGATATAGAACATCAATGGGATGATATCTTTACAAAACCCCTTGCTAAAGACAAATTCATATTTATTTTGAAAAATCTTAAAATGGAAATTTGTCTAAAATGAAGAATGATTATGCCTCTGACTGTGTAAAATGAGACTCTTGGTATTTGGCTCTAGAATAGTTAGCCTTATGAAGTTAGAAGGTTTTATATTCCAGATGGATCAAAGACAGAAACCCATGTGGAAGTTATGGCTATTAGACTCTAAGAAAAACCAAAAGTCAAACAAAAGTTTTCGAGACTCTGAAGCATGACAGTTGTCATGCGTGCAACTATCTAAACGTTTGAAGTGACTTTTGGGGAGCTCTATGTTTTGGGAACACATGAAATCATTTCATTCGCTCCTAATTTCATTAATTATTTTAAGGATTATTTCTACTCAAACGTATCGTATTCCTAGTTTTTCGAAGTGACGTTTTGAGCTCTTTGTCTTTTCATTCTTATATTGTGATTCGCACAAATCTTATGCACTTTTTTTCTTCAATCCTTTTTAAACAACTTTTCATCTACTAATTCTTTTTCATATCTTAAATCTTATTTCATGTTCTTTAAATTTCTCTGAAAAAATCCTTTCTCTTCAGTATTGTTGTACCCCAAAATTTTCCCTCTTACTTATAAATAAAATAGCTTATGCTTCATCATCATATTCATCATTTGCATTGCATTAACTTAATGATATGGGGTCAATGGTTTTGACTAGGTGAGTATATACTACTCAAGAGAAGAAACGTTATCTTCAAGGGTTGAGCATCTGAAGTCTCTCCATCATAAACATGATCTCAAGTCACAAGATATATGAGTTCAAGAGTTCTTCAAGATATCTCAGTTGGATTAGGGTTTTGAGCTATGGTCAACATCTCCTATCTTTTGTGATGCAAACTAGGTTTTTTGACCAATGGCATGATCTAACTATTTTTTCAAGCATAAGATGACCTCATGGTTTCCCACTTGTCTTAAAGCACCTGTATGTGGTTTATTAATCTTCACATTTTGTTAGAAAATCAGGATTGATTGAATAAGAAGAGATTTGAGTGTGTATGGGAAAAGGTCAACAAAAAGTCAAAGGTTAAACAAATGGTATTTTTGGTCAAGATTATTTTCAAAAGTTAAAATATGAGAAAAGGTGATCACTTGTTGAGAAAATTCGAAAGAATTGGTCAAAATTGAGATTTCTTGCATTTTTAGTAATCTTGGACTTAGAAAATTTTCTAAGTTTTAAGAACATTTGTGTTCATAATTCCATCTTGTCAACTCTCTATCTCCTTCATTCAGGGTTGAAAATTTTCAAATTTATGATCATTGGAAAGAGGACATTTCATACTTCATTTTTGTCCTTGAGGACTTATCTCCAAAAAGTGCCTGGATTTTGAGTTATGAATTCTGGAAGATGAGTGTTCACAAAAGATGGAATGTTGGACACTTATTGAAATTGCAGAATTTTTAGAGTGTTCAAGTGTCTGACTTTAAGACAAAATTCATGATGATCTAGGCATCATTTCAGGATGGGCTCAATTACAAAGTTGTTCAAATTTCTACAATCTACATCTTTGTAGAAGGAATCAAATTCATTTGAGCATTGGACCAAAAGTTATAAGTGGATGAAGTTTCTATCTCAAGTTAGAACCATTTCAAGTAATTTCAGAATTCTACTAAGTGTTTTAATGTGATTAAATAGCTAGCTTTGAGCTACATTTCCATGTGATTCCAAGCTTCGATTCAAGAAATATGTAATTACAAATTTGTTTAGATTATTACAACCTACCATTTTGTAGAAGGAAACGAGGAAAAATTACCAAGGGATTAGAAGATATAAGGTCATGAAGTAGTGACTGCAAGGTGTTCGATTAAATGACACCATGGAATTCTAGAGAGTTTGCTTGGAGGATTGAGGCATTACTTGAGCGAGGATTTGCATAGTGATATGGTTTTTATTCACATGTCTCCCAACAACAAGACTACTCTATCAATTTCCCTCTTCTAATGGGTACCAAACTTGTGATATTTTGGTGCTTGATTATCAGGATACAAGATCACAAAGAGGGCATCACAGCCATGGATCCGGTAGCGTATTTGGTTGGCTTTTCACATCATGCCGCATAGGTTGACGTATCATTTGGATATAAAGCTGCAATATGAGCATGTCGCGGGTTTTTACTCAATTTGGCCATGCAATAACTCATTATGCATGCATAGTTGTGAGAACTTGCTTAAAATGAAATGATAAAACTGGTTAGCTAAGTCTAAATAGGGCACACCATAAGTTGCAATGGAGATTCCACATTGAATCAAATCACGAGAGTAACACTCCTTGTACTGCAGTACTCGTGGACCACACTCTCTATTCTTGCTCTCTTCATTTTTTTACTCAACAAGCTTGAGAGAATGGATATCACACGCGCCTAAGCTTCTAAAGAAAGAGGCCATAACTATTTTCTATTAGAGGTCAGGGACACCATAATAAAATCTCACTCTATCACTCTCTGGTGTCACTCAATTTAAAACCCCAATTTCTTGTGTTTTTTTAAATCTTATGTGAGAAGAGTAGGAATACCAAAAAAGATTTCTTGTGTAGTGGAGGGATCTTGTCTCTTTTGGAAGTATTGACGAAGAAGTATCAGATAGCTTTTGTATGGGTGTATCCTTAAGGGTTGGGGACCTTGATTCCCTGTAGTTACATCATCTTGCATTTACGCATTCGGTCTAATATATTCGTCTGATCTTGATCAGACGAATCTAATTCAAAACATCTAACTTTGGAAAAAATAAATGTGATTTTTCCGAGCAGGGCGATCAAAATCAAATGGTTGCTAAACACTTGACAACATGATTGCGATAATAGCGTGACTGCAGAGATCCAATTTGAAGGGAAAAATAAATTTAAATAGTTTTTTTTATTAAAAAAATTTAAAAGTTAAGTATAAGGATTCAGTTTTTTAAGAAATGGTCCAGTTTGAAAAAAATTGTCTTCTAATAATTTGGAATAATTTGGAATTTTGAATCGTTATACCGAACCAAAATTTTTGGTTCAGTTCAATTTTAGAAAAATTAAAACGGTTCGGTTCAGTTCGAATAACATTATATAATGGTTCAGTTCGGTTCGGTTCAATTCAAATGACATTATATAATAATTCGGTTCAGTTCGATTTGATTTTCTAATGGAAATGTACTATGAACAGCCCTAGCTAGACATAATTGTTGGCTTTAGGATTTTCTTAATGTCGACAGTGTTAGAGGAACAGGCCAACGCGGAAGTCGTTGCTTTGTTGTTAATTTTGCAGGATGTAAATCTGTCTCGAAATGGAGATGACCAATTCGTTAGGCATCATAGCGTTGACGGAATTTACAGTGTGAAATCAAGATTTTTCAGGTCTTAATTCTGGCACTGTATTAGACTCTATCTTGAAGCAGACGATGTTCCCTCTTTGGTCCTCCAAGATTCATGCTTTTGGGTAGAGGCTTATTCTAAACCGTTTACCCATTAGAGGTCAATTGGAATCAAGGGAAATTATTCAAAATCCTCATAGTATAGTGTGTGTAGGGGTGCTCAAATCCTCCCAAGGCTCTCATTTGAATAAATATAGTAGGATTTTGAGATAGATCAGTGAGGGCTTGAAATTGAAACCTCCACCCTATTGTTTTGAGCAAAGCGTGATGGAGTTAAATGCATAATCTCTTATACCATTACAAAAAATATAATTTTAATTGTAAGGTAATGCAAACATGTAGATAGATTTTTGCTGTACTAAATCAAGAGAGTAATACAAGTATTTATAATTAGGTAACTATATTGCAACTAAAATGTGAAAAGGATTGAGAACTAATAACTAAATAACAGTATTTGCGCATTACGTCTCTACACAACTATCGACTGACACAGGAAAAGAAATGTTAACTAACTCTACCTTAACCTAAGAACTCAGATTATTATCTGCACATGCTGTCCACACTAAGTGGTCTTTCTTAATCAGCCACCAAAAATGCTTTAGCTAAGTTTTCCCAAAAAAGAAAGTAAAGTGATAATGATGAGGATGCACATCACAAAAACCTTTCCCAATTTCTTAACTCTACGTGACCCTTTTTTCATTGCACTTTTTTGTTATTGATATTCTTCTCTCAATAGCATCTACACGTTTAAACTTTTGGAGCATTAATAATTGTCACCCTTAAAACTTTAGCAGGTTCATCCTTTTGCATCTCAATGTCATTTATTTCAACACCTTCGGTTACTGATTCCAACACTCCATTTTTTACACAACACTCCGTTCTTTCTGTTTTTGTTTCCGCTTCAATCTCTTTGTTTTCTTTGTTTTTGCCCCATAGAACGGAGTAAAGTCCTATTACGATCAAAATTGCTCCAATAACACTGAAAATCATAAATTAAATAAATAAATCAATAATGAAAACAAATTATTTACCTACTTTCTCATTTTGTGTTTTTATTTTTATTTTTATGATTGTGATGTTTCCTTTTTTAGTTGATTTATGATAAGAAAATGATAGAAAGTATAGAGAAGAAACCGCATGAAAGTAAAGTATCTTTCCCACTGAAAATTGATTAGTTCATAATTCATTGCATTGAACAAAAGTTTTAATTAAATTTGTGGTCCACTTGTGATGCAATAGTAAAGTTTCAGATGTATCAGCATCCCAACATTATAATTGTGGTTGCATTCTTCACACATCTGTCTCTTTTTTTCTTCAAAAATTCGATATAGAGATAAATACAAATTAGACCAAAAATAGAGAATAAAAAACTTTATATAATGGACTTACCCTCCAAGATATAATTTTTCAGCAAGGATGAAAGTGGCCATGATTGCTACAATGATCATCATCAGAGGACTAAAAGCAGTCACAAAAACTGGCCCTTTCTTTTGCATCACAATTCCTTGTACATAATATGTAAGACCTGATGATATTATACCCTGTTTGTTCATCAAAATGTTTAGCTCCATTAATTAAAATCCTCCATAAACATAACAAAATATGTAGATATTAGGAGAAAAACTTACAGCATAGGCTGCAGCTAATAAATTCATGTCCAAACCAATGTTCCAAACATTTGGTTTGTGCTCCATAACAAATGTAACTGCTATTGATTGAAGTGTTCCCAAGAAACATACTATGGCTGTCAGTGAAAGTTGTGCTGAATATTGTCTTAATGTCACTGCCTGGAGGATGAAGAAAGAAGACCAAGCAAAGGTAGCAATTATGAGAAGGATTGAACCTTTAACCCAATCCTTTTCACCAGAATCACTATTGTTTTCAGGTACATAGTTTCTAGGATGATGCATGTATTGAGAACCCAATATATTCATAACTTGTCCTTTGTATAATGTCATCACCATAGCCCCACCAACTGTGATTACAGTTCCAATCACTTTTACTTGGCATCTTAATTTTTTTATGTCCAATTTCTCCATCCTAGTTTATCACAAGTGAAGAAAATAACACCAAGTTAACTAATTTAATACTAAAAACATATAAAAAGAAAAGGAACATATATCATATATATATATATGAGTATATAAAATATACCTGAAAATAACAGCCATTACAAAAGTCATTGCAGGGAGAATATTGCTAATAGCACAAGAGTATGTTGGAGATGTGAATTTCAACCCAGCATAGTATAGATTCTGATCAATCACAGGCCTAAACAAAACAAAAACACTTATTTAACAACATTTTTGGAATAGTTAACGTTGCGATTCAGATGAACTAACTATAGTGTTTTTTAGAAATTTCGACAGCAAAGAATCTAAATCCATCAGAAAAGTACTAACCCGAGGAGTCCCAATACAAACATTTGCATGAACATAAGAAACGTAATCCTTGGCCTTATCTTCCTGCCAACGACAAGAAAGAAGGAAGGATCAGAAAGTGATTTTCTCAAACAAAAAATCAGTCAGAAAATGAATGATTGTTGAATACCTCTCAAGAACTATAGCGAATGGAGCAATAGCTGCAGTAGCAAAAGCATGTCTATAAACAACAAGAACATAGTGACTCATTCCTCGGTTGAGCGATACTTTTGTTATTATATTCATACCAGCGAAACCAAATTGAAGACAAATCATAGCTATGTATGGCTTGCACCTTTGAAACAAACTTGAACAACATTTATCTCCTTCCATTGCTAGTACTACGTTATGGTTTGTATTGTATACAGAGGAAGAGAAGAACACTTGAATGTGTTTGTGTTGTGTATTTTCTTCTTGAGTGTAAAACGTCATGCTTTCTATTGTATTTATAGATAGAAATGCTGTATGAGAATGGTCCTCAAAACATCAACTAGAGGAACTTTTTTGATTGAATTTGAAGCGTGTAAGAATTGATATCATCATCAAACTCACACGTGAGCTCCTTTTAGTAATTGGATTAATAATACGTACGACATTGGATATTCTTATTTGTTGTGTGTGTATGTGCATGAACAATATGGATTCCACGTGGCAATAATTGTATTGCTTTATTGAGAAAATGAATTAGGTGAATGGCCATCCATTTTTATGAATCAGTTAGATCACACTCTATGTGTTAAGTCATGTGGGGCAACACTCACCTAAGAAAATTGTTAGAGTATCAACTCGGCTCAAAGAAATAAACAATGAATACAAATAATGAACACACCATTTTTTGGTTCAAAAGTTTGGTAACAATGTACTATCCATGAAAGAATGTACTATCCATGAAAGATTATCAGTTATTTACATTGTACAAATTTGATTTTGCACTAATTTAAATTATAATATTACTAAATTATAATATTATTTTTTGTTGCGGCCTAACCAGAGGTCTAAAGAATAAGACTCAATCTAAAATATCCATATAGCAGTGAAGAATAGTTTATGATATCGTCAAAAGCCAAACACTTGATCTCATCTTATAGTGTATTGTTCTTCTTAGAATATGATCAGACAATTCTCTACATCTCACATCAAATTAGGCCAGCATATATAAGTCCAACAATTCCCCATCGTAGGTATTCTTACTCTCATTCTAACACTACATCTCAACAATTTAAGTGATTTTGGCGTTGAAGTGTTAACCTTGTAGGTCACCTCTGCTCTGTCGCACTGGAAGAGGTCTTTTCCTTGGCATTACATATTTCTCGTTCGACCTCAAAATAGTGACGCCGTCTGTGGGAATCGACATTTGATTCCCTCGAATTCCCACGAAAATAATCGTCTATTCGCCATTGCTCCACTGATATGTTTTCAACTATAACTCTCAGTCAATTTTGTCCAAACGATGGCAACGTCAAAATCCACTCGACTAGATGCTCAAAGGAAATACTATTGCGTTCGTAAATACTTCTGATCTCGTCGAAGAAGCTTCACCTCCTCCAATAGAAGAAGTTGATCAAACCTTAGTAACTTCTCATTTTATTCTGAATCTTCTGATTGTAATTTCTCCGACTATCAGCCAGAGTACTTTCCAAGTTTTACCAATCTTTAAACCTCCTCAACATTTGCTTCAACCATGGTTGAAGGAAAACTTATAAGCCTTCCTTCAAATATGCAGTCCCATACTTGCACAACCTTAGAATCCTCTCATCTGATGTGAATTTAAAGAGCACTCCTCGCCCTCTTCGTCCTCAGGAGTGTCTCATTGTCATGTCTCATGCATCAACAACCATTCTCACCCCTCGTTGGCCTCAAGTGTTACACTCAATACCCAACTATTTCACTAACCTTGTGTGATCGGTGGATCTGGAACTGACTGTTTAACGCTGGTTCGCGAAATGTCGCGGAAGCAAGAGTCGCCACCGTCTTTTATTTTCTCCAATTGGAAAGGACAAAAGCACAGAAAAATTCCTTTAAGAGATTGCTCTCGGTTCGGGAGGTAGGTTATAGAAAGGGAAGGTGTTAGCACCCTTTCTATCCATGGTTATCCATGGGCTCTTAGATACTTGCTCAATGTGTTTTCAAAATTGTTTGTTTGCTTTTCAATGTGGGTTTTAAAAAAGTTTCTTTGAAAAATTCCAGTTCGACTCGTACGTCAGAGTGTTTGAAAAATTTGCTTTGAAAGCTTTTGAAAAGTGTTGGTGTGAAAAGTCTTTTTGAGTTTGTTTTGAGATTAGAGCAAGTATCCTTGAGAACCTACCTACCCTAAGGAATTCGTCTGTGTAGATGTCCTTAAAAGTAATGCCATCCCACCATTGAGAGGTAGGTAGCACCACTGTTGGAGGTGTTCGGGTCAATTCGATTTTTAGGGACGTGGTGATCACCAGAGCAATGGGAAGACACCTTAGAAGCTACCCTCATGCCAGGTTCCCGGATCATGAGGACTTACTAAGACGTCCTCTACTCGACGACCACCTTTCGAAAGGCAACAGTGAGGCGTACCCTAGGGGTGGTGTGTGCGATTCGTGTGTCATGTTTCAGTTATTTGTCTTGTCATGTTTGTCGTGTTCTACGCTTGATTTTAATTATTGCCATACATTCTTTCATGCTTATTAACAGTTAAATATTTTGCGGGAAAATAAATCTAAGACTATTACAAATGGCGCGGGTCCACATCGCCAAAATAAACCGGACCCGATTTAGCGGAAAAATAAATAATGCGAAGAAATAAAGTGCGAAAAGTAAATTACATGGCTTAGGGACAATTACATAATTATAATTAAACGACATAAGATAAATCATGCGAAATTAAATGATTAACGACGGGCGTTGGACCCTTTTGCAAATAATTAAAATTAATGAGAATTAAAGATTAAATGATTAAATGTTTTTTTTGATATTTTTGTATTTTTTAGATTTAATAAGGAAAAGAAATTAATTGAAATTAAATTAAAAGACAAACCCTAATTCTAGTATTTTTTATTTATTATGAAAGATTTAAATTAAACCTAAATTAAACTCTAAATTAATTTATGTACAGTTAAATAAGAAAATAAATAAGTAAATAATATTATTCTGAAAAAAAGGAAAAATTAAAAGAGAAATAAAAAAAAAAAGATATTAAACCTAAATTCTATTTTTGGTGTTTTTTATTAAAAAGGGATTAAAACTATAACCTAATTAACTAAATATTGACATATATTAATTTATTGATGAAAATAATTAAAATTAAAAATTATATTTTTATGTGGACATTTTTATTTTTATGATATTTTTCTGTATTTTTTGTACAAAAGGATATTTAATTTAAATCAGAAAATAAAATAAACAAATAAACAATTAAAAATAATAAAAGATAAAAGAAAATTTAGAAAAAAAAAGATAGAACCAGGGGGGGTTTCTGTCCCATTATGGAGGTGTAAATTTGAGAGGCCTGGCCCATCAAGCTTTGACATTCATTGACTTTTTGGATTGTGTATGATGCTGTTGACCTGATATATGGTGCCCTTTGAATTTAAGCCTTTGATCTGTAAGCATTGGACGCGTGTAAGGTGAGATATTGATGGAACATGGTGCGTTCCAACGTGGTGCCTGCATGGGAATGAGAATAGAAAAATAATATGAGATTTGCAAGACCTGGGACTTGAACCCAGGTCTGGAGAGTCACAAGCATAGCGTGTCACCAACTGAACCAAGCGCGTTTAGTTAACATATGATAATACGTAAATATGATAAATAAAACATAACGCTAATGGATCAAAAGCGCGCGAATTTTAAACGGACGTATCACTGATTGACACGCCATCTTCTTCCTCACCACCCCTGTAACATAAAACAAAAGAGCAACGGTTTTTGAAACGTTGCTTTAGAGGTGATTCAAGAAAATAGCGAATAGAACCCTGGGCATCATAAATTGTTCGCGAGTATGCAGTCTTCTTCGTCTTGGTGCGCTGAACTCAACCATGGTATCCGGGAGTCCTAATTTTTCTTCTACACAAAACCCCTAATTCGAGCTCCTGAAAACCCTAACTTTTGGCAATGGCATAATCGTATATAGTCAATAAAAATACAATTAAACACCACAGTTAGCTTTAGAATTTCACAAAGAATAAGAATCAACAAACAAAATTCATGAAAGATGCTTAGAATATGATATGCGATTTGGAAATTTTTGCTTCACAGTTTGAGGTCCTGGTACCGTTTCAATGCGTTTGGCTTGTTGTTTTTGATTGAGAAACGTTTAGGGATATCTCAGGATGCTAATGGACTAAAAATTGGAGCTTGAATCACCCTAAAACCTTGATTTCAGTATTGGGTTTTATGAGAATTTTTCAATATGCAAAAGCTTGATTATGCGCAGCTTGCAGTCTTCTAGCCTTAGGGTTCTCATCCAGTACTTGTATGGAATGGTTTAGGTTAAAAAGATTCAATAAAATCCATGTCCATAATTGTTTTCAATCTTTGATTTGTTAAGAATCTTTTCCAATCTTTTTCTCATGTATCTTGTACCAAATCTGATCAATTAGCACCAAAGCTTGCCTATTTGAGATATGCACGAATTGTAGAGATTAGAATGTGCACAAAAAGATTTTTTTTAGGTTAGTTTGATATTTTTCATATATTAAAATCATTTAAATGAATATAAATTAATATTAATTCAAATAAATAATTAAAAAATATGAGAATACTTCCCTTTGGGCCTAGTGGTCGTGCATAGGCTTGGCATGAAGAAATTTGGAAGAAAAATGGGCCCATTTGCATTTTTAGGCCTTTTGCATCCATGTTGACTTTCAAAAATTTCCAAAAATTTCCCAACTTCCACAAGGCATAACTTGGTCAATTTTTAAGATTTTCACATGTTCTTGGACATTTTGGAAAGGTCTTTGAGTCCTTTAACCAATGCCTTTGGTCCCATGTCATTTTGATTTACCAATCTCAAGTTATGGCCTTTGACTTAAAGTCACGTTTTGTTGACTTTTGAAAATGACCTATAATGTTGAAATTGATAACTTTTTGTGAGAGCATTTCTTGGACTTGGAACATGAAGATGAATTGTAGGAAATGTCTTTCTCTTCAAAATGAGCTTTGGATGGGATTTTTCTGATAATCCAGGTGAAAGTTATGCCCTGGTCAATTTCAGTTGACTTTTCCAGCTGTCCAAATATAGCAACTTTTGTATCTTTGATGATTTCTGAGCCAAATTTTGAGAATCATGATCTGGCATTGATCAAATGATGTTTATGGCTTCAAAATGATATATTGACCAAAAATTTGAACTTTTGACTGTC